ATTCTACCAAAGTCTTCACCATAGCTTATGGTTAAGTTAGTAACCAAGTTCCATATTGGCAATGTCCTATGCATGCCCCCATCATTCTTCCTTTGGGAAATGCTTATACACTCATACCTAAACTAACAAATCCTAATTACAGATCCTCTGAGAAGGCTGCTGACCAACTTCTAAATCCATAATACAGTAGTCTCTCTTAGCCGAGGGGGATACTTTCCAAGACTCCCAGTGGATGCCTGACAAATTTGAATAACAAATCCTACATATACTATGTTTTTACCAATACATGCATACCTATGATAAAGTTTAATTTGTAAATTAGGCACAGTAAGAGATCAACAACAGTAACTAATAATAAAATAGAACAATTATAAAAATATACCTGCACCACTACTCTTGTGCTTTGGGGCCATTATTAAATAAGGGTTACTTGAACACAAGTACTATGCTGCCTCGGCAATGTGATAAACAAGATGGCTTCCAACTGACTAATGGACAGGTAGTGTGGATATGCTGCAAAGGGATGAGTCACATCTCCAAGCAGGACAGAGCAAGAGTTAATCATGCTAATCACAACAGTGTGCAATTTAAAATGTATAGTTTGTTTCTGGAGTTTTCCATTTAGGATTATGGCTAACTGGAGGTAACCGAAACAATGGAAAGTGCAACCATGGATAAGGGAGGACTACTGTATGAACTTCCTTCTTTCCACATCCCAATGGTTAACCTCTATATCAAAACCCAGCACTGAAGGAGAATAACAACAAGTATTTCTTCATTCATTTCAGATGACAGAAGGGAATCAAGACAATATCAAACAGACCCTCCAGAAGAGAGTAAATTGAGATCAGTCAGCCACAATGAAATTCACATGCTGGAAGACATTGGTGATCTCCAGTGTTTGGAATTCACTCTTTGTCCCAGATTTTTCTTTGGTGTTTCAACGCACTTCCATAACAAGCTCCTCAAAAACAAGGCAGGTTCAATATCCCTCTCACTAAGAAGTGGTTCATGTCTAACCAATGATGATCACAAATGCAATACAAAAAATTTCATTAAAACAATTACTGCAACTATCCAAGAATATTCTAGCTACCAGCCTCCGTTTGTTTTCAACCTTTTTATATTCCAACAATGTGTAACACAGACCACAGTCATCAAGGAAGAAAACTGGCAAAAATCACACATCTGAAAAAGTAGCCTTCAGGATTTAGAGGACTCAAGACCATCAGGAAAATTACCTATATGAATGGCTACAAGTAGGGAAACCATGGCGTAATATTCTAGTAGAGAAAAAAGGAAGATGTACTATGGTTAATAGGGATACAATATGCTTGTATCTTCTTGTATCAAGAATTAGTACCATACATCCTTCACATTACTGTGGAAGGAGAAGAGTATCAACCACACGCCAATTTTCTTCTAAATGCCTGTGTTTGGGCTTTTGTTTTGCTTTGTTTAAAAAAAAAAAAGAAAACCAAATGGATTTCCTTTAACTTCCTAAAGTACCGAGTTTCTCCCTCTCAAGTACACCAACGATTGAAACAACAAAACACAGCCTGTAATCCCAGCACTTTGGGAGGCCAAGGCGAGTGGATTACCAGAGCCTGCTCAGGTTCGAGATCCACGCGGGCAACTTGATGAGACTTCGTCTCTACAACAAATCAAAAAAATTAGCTAGGTGTGGTGGCACGTGCCTGTAATTTCAGCTACTTGGAAGGCTGAGGCAGAAAGGATCACCGGAGCCCAGCAGGTCGAGGCTGCGGTGGCCAGGAGCATGCCACTGCACTCCAGTCTGGGCGACAGAGTGAGATTCCAACTCAAAAAAAAAAAAGAAACAACAAAACAGAAACGATTCACTCAAATTGGCTTTAACAATAACACTACAGTTCTAAGCCGAGACATAGTTTTTACCAAAACCAATGTCCATTAACCATAATGTATCAACTAAGCTAGCTTCCCATCTTAATTCCCTGTACTCATCTACTCATCTCTCCATTCCAAGATAAGTTTCCAATGTGCCAGCCCAAGTTCTGTCCTTCACCAATAGTACTGACCTCAACACTACTTCTCTGAGGATGTATGGAAAACTTGACAGAGAAAAAAAATAACTGGTCAAGCACAAGGCAGAAAACTAGCTGGTGATCAATCAGAACCAACCAGGCAGATGTTACTTATCTGGGTTTTGTTTTGTTTGAGGGGGTGGAAGTTTCTTAGCCCACAGTCACCATGAGGCTTATGAGAAAAGGCATGCCATTCTATCTTCAAATAGTCCAAAGAGTTGGAGGGACAATTTACAGCCTCCTGTGTAAAAAAAAGTCTATAAATGCCAGTGCCATTCTTTGCCCTGTCACTTCCCATTAGCCTAAACCAACAGGATTCTATTCACTGAGACTTGAGCTGGAAACATGAACAGACAGACTTTTCTTGGGCAGAGAGAAAAGGGGAAGATGATTGGGGGCGGGGGTGTTGTGGGAAGCCAGATTTCTTTAAGTTTCTATGTAGTGCTTAATATGTATATAGTATACTGTTGGAGCTGAAACTGAACTACATGAGCAGTCATGAAAAAGTCACCTTGGGAAAAAGATTCAACTTCCTCAAATTTGTAATATGCTCAAGCCATAAATCTAAAATATGAAGAGATGAGACGATTGTGACAGTTTTTTTTAAAAAATCAATGACAAACACTATTTGATCCATGGTTCATTTGCTTTCACATACTTCCTATCTTTATTCATACACTATACTAGTCTACAGTCAAGTTCACTAAAGAGAAATCAGCAAGCAAGCAGGGCCTTATGTTGGATCAAATAAGCATAAACTCTGTGCACTGAGATGACAAGAGGTGGGTTTCGCATTGTCTTGTTTAGAATCCTAGGACAGAGAAGAGGCATCTCCACACTATCTACTAATCTCCACCATTTGAACCATATCTAACTAATAAGATCTGTGCCTAGAGATTTATAAGACTTAAGGACAAGTAACCAAATTATATAGGATATACTGGAACCCAAACCCCAAGATAAGGTGGACAGAAGTATGCTGATCTGGCTGTTCCATAAATACAAACTTAATCATGTCACTAACCTTGGCCAACCAAACAAATACTAAGTAGCAACTCATCTCTGGTGATAAAGAATAGTTAAGCACAAGACTCTGGACCAGGCAACTCTCACCAGAGACTGCATCCAGTTGCAATGTCAGGATTTGGGTCTAGAATACTAGTTCTAGAAAAACAGAGTTTTTCTTGTTTCTACTTCCTACACCCTTTCCTCCAACCTCTCTCCGTCCAGAGATTCACTCTCAAACTGCTTATATCTTCTGCAAGTATTCGAAAAATCCTGATATTGATATCAAATGAATAAATGACTGGTACACTCTGTTTTAGCTCAAACTCATGATAAGACACTAAAAGTAAAATTTTAATTGTGCAAATAAATAAATAAATCCTGGGCCACAGGTAAACAGTGGTCCAAATACATGGTCTGATAAAGGGTTTCTATTGACACTCTCAAGTGTGAAAGCTGTGTGGGAGATAAGCTAGATCTGAGTTGTGCAATATAGTAGCCACTGGCCAAGTAGCTATTTAAAATAAGTTCTACTGGACAGTGTTGATCTAGACAGGAAAATATCAGCATTTCTGGGACACTGTAACGGTTTATAAGGCAACTTAGTGCAAACTGTTGAAATTAGGATAGTTCTGAAACTCAAGATTTGTGATCAATATAAATGTGACCTGGCTGGGGCGTGGTGGTTCATGCCTAGGAGGCGAAGGCAGTAAGATTGCTTGAGCCCAGGAGTTTGAGACCAGCCTGAGCAAAACAGCAAAATCCTGTCTCTACAAAAAAATTTAAAAAGTAGCCGGGTGTGGTAGCACACACCTGCAGCTCCAGCTACTCAAGAGGCTAAGGCAGAAGAATCACTTGAGCCCAGGTCGAGGCTGTGGTGAGCTGTGATCCACCACACTCCAGCCTGGGCAAAAGAGCGAGGCCTTGACTCAAAAACACAAAAACAAATGATGACCTAAATGGAAGAAAGATGAAGCAAAGGTGTGTGTAAAGTTATGTGTCCCACAGTGGCACAACAATAACTTTTAGGGTTAACGTCTTTCTTAAGCAAAACATATAACCCAATTTCTCCCAATAGCTTTCTAGAGAGCTAAACATTTCCATACTAAAGTCAGAAAAAATATATATTTATGTTTTTGAGACAGGGTCTTGCTCTATCACCCAGGCTAAAGTGCAGCGGCATGATCATAGCTCACTATAATTTTAAATTCCTGGGCTCAAGCAATCCTCCTGCCTCAGCCTTCTGACTAGCTAGGACTACAGGCATGGGTCACCACACCCAGCTAATTTTTAAGCTTTTTTTTTTTTTTAGTCAGAATCTCACTCTGTTGCCCAGGCTGGAGGGTAGTACACAATCAACAGCTATTCAAGGCCTCAACATGCTGGGCTCAGGTAATCCTTCTACCTCAACCTTCCAAGTAGCCGGAATTACAGGTATGCACCACCACACACAGCTAATTTTTAAATTTTTTGTAGAGACAAGGTCTCACTATGTTGCCCAGGCTGGTCTAGAAATCCTGGGCTCAAGCGATCCTCCTGCCTCAGCCTCCCAAAGTGCTGAGATTATAAGTGAGAGCTACCATGCCTAGTCTTTCCTGATTATTTAATTTCCATTTTGCCTTTATCAGAAGTCAAAGTAGATTAATAAATTTTAACATCACTGAATTCAACATCTTAATCAAGAGGAATATAGACCATGCTCTAAAACAGCCTGGGTGAGAGCTGTGAAAACAATCTGTGGGAAAAAATAATTAGCTTGTGAAAAAATTCCTATAACGTAATCAAGAGCTGGTGAGAAGAGGTATAAATATCCTGTGAAATGAAGTTCTTAGTAGCCAGCTACATTCTTAGAAGGGTCATTTCCGGTCTATGTAAACCCCCCCAAGGGACTCTAATGTTGCAAAACCGACACTTCTGTCCAACCTACATTACCTTTCTGGAGATCGAAGAGACATTCAAACCAAATCTTTGCGCTCTTTCCTTTAGTTTATCCAGGTTAACCTATAAGAACAGGAAAAACAAATTACATGTTTTTAAAAAAATTTTTTTTTTTTGAGTTAGAGTCTTACTCTGTCACCCAGACTGTAGTGCAGTGGCAGGCGGCCACTGCAGCCTTGACCTGCTGAGCTCTGGTGGTCCTTCCGCCTTAGCCGTCCAAGTAGCCGGAACTACAGGCGCGCGCTACCACGCCCGGCTAATTTTTGATTTATTGTAGAGATGAGGTCTTGCCAAGTTGCCAAGGTGGGTCTCGAACCCACAGGCTCAGGCAATCGACTCACCTCAGCCTCCCAAAAGCGCTAGGATTACAGGCTGAGCCACAGAACCTGGCCTGTTTTTTAAAAATTTAAACAGAAAATAGAAAAGGCAGAAACTATAGTCCAAAGCTACAAGTTCAAATAAGTATATAACATTAAAGATATCATATATGCCGAAATAGGAAACCAAGCAGCACCTATCCATCCCATTGATTGCTTTTTGTTTTTTTGAGTTGGAGTCTCACTCTGTTACCCAGACTAGAGTGCAGTAGCCACTCCCGGCCACCGCAGCCTCGACCTGCTGGGCTCCGGTGATCCTTCCGCCTCAGCCTTGCAAGTAGCTGGAACTACAGGCGCGCACTACCATACCCAGCTAATTTTTGATTTATTGTAGAGATGAGGTCTTGCCAAGTTGCCCAGGCAATCCACTCACCTCAGCCTCCCAAAAGCATGGGATTACAGGCTGAGCCACCGAGCCAGGCTCATCCCACTGATTGTTAAAAGGCCTCTTCTAGATTACAGTGAAAGATTCACCCCTGCCTCCTTTAGTCATCAAAGGTGGCAAGATCCTAAGGAGGGTTTAAGATCAAAGTAGGCCAAACACTGCTAGAAAAAGTAAAGATAAGCCTAAATCGTCACCCCCAAACAAGCCCGCCATATACAGTCCAAAATCATTAATTCCTATACACAGTCTCTACAAGTAGTTCTTAACTCTATCCACAAGCAAAGAAAAACTAATACTGAAACACTCTCTTCAGAAGAGAATCTACTATCACTAAGCCAGGTGCAGTGGCTCATGCCTGTAATCCAAGCACTTTGAGAGGCCAAAAGTCGAGGGGATTGCCTGAGCCTAGGAATTTGAGACCAGCCTGGGCAACATAGCAAGACCCTGTCTCCACACACACAAAAAAATTACCTAAAGCTTTTGGACAAGGCCTAAAACTACAGTACCGTAAGGTTGGGCTTCCTTGGGTGAATCACCCTCCAGTTAACAAAACCCATTCATTTTTTCAAAAAGAGGACTGGTAGGAAGGAAGATGCTGGCAGTAACTCTGAAGACATGGGGACTTTCCTGAACTATCAGTACCTCAAACCCTTTTTAAAAATTCAGGACACAGCCGGGCTCGGTGGCTCAGCCTGTAATCCCGTGCCTTTGGGAGGCTGAGGTGAGTGGTTTGCCTGAGCCTGCGGGTTCGAGACCCACCTGGGCAGCGAGACCTCATCTCTACAATAAATCAAAAAATCAGCCGGGCGTGGTAGCGCATGCCTGTAATTCCGGCCACTTGGAAGGCTGAGGCGGAAGGATCGCCGGAGCCCAGCAGGTTGAGGCTGCAGTGGCCGGGAGTGGCCACTGCACTCCAGTCTGGGTGACAGAGTGAGACTCCAACTCAAAAAAAAAAAAAAAAAAAAAAGCCGGGCTCGGTGGCTCAGCCTGTAATCCCGCGCCTTTGGGAGGCTGAGGTGAGTGGATTGCCTGAGCCCGCGGGTTCGAGACCCGCCTGGGCAGCGAGACCTCATCTCTACAATAAATAAGAAAATCAGCTGGGCGTGGTGGCGCATGCCTATAATTTCGGCTACTTGGAAGGCTGAGGCAGAAGGATCGCCGGAGCCCAGCAAGTCGAGGCTGCGGTGGCCGGGAGCAGCCACTGCACTCCAGTCTGGGCGACAGAGTGAGACTCCAACTCAAAAAAAAAAAAAAAAAAATTCAGGACACACAACACTGTACTGAAAACAAACAAACTGGGTGCAGTGGCTCACACCTATAATCCCAGCACTTTGGAAAGTGGAAGCAAAAGGATTGCCTGAGCCTGTGGGTTAGAGACCAGCCTGGGCAACTTGGCAAGACCTCTCACTATAATAAATTTTTTAAAAAATTAGCTGGGCGTGGTGCCACACACCTGTAGTTCCAGCTACACAGAAGGCTGAAGTAGAAGGATTGCCTGAGCCCAGCAGGTCGAGGCTGCAGTGGCTGTGAACGGGCCACTGAACTCCAGCCTAGGCAATGGAGTGAGACTCTGACTCAAAAAAAAAAAAAGAAAAAGAAAAAGAAGACAAACAAACAAAAATTGCCAAACTCATGATCTCAGAGTTTTCTCTGAACTAAGGAAAAGGCAGAGTCTTTAACTTTAAAGCTAGATATAGAGGGTTAAGATCTGGGTATGCAAGAGATAAAAAAAATACTTACCATAGGTTTGGTGTCGGATGACAGACCTAAGGAAGCAAATAAAGTTTATTAATTTTAAAAGTCATTAAAAAAGTCAATAGTCTCCAAATCAGACAGCATAAAAACAGCATATAGGACATAATTCCTTTATCCTATGACGACAAAACAGGGTGGAAACTGCAACCAGAGATCATATCTGCAGTCACTGCTGGTGGGAGCATAAAACAGTGTGGTTGCTTTAGAAAACAATTTGTCCGTTTCTCAAAAAGTTAAACATGGAGTTATATATGACCCAGCAATTCCACTCTTAGATATACACTCTAGAAAAATAAAAACACACATTACATCTACACAAAAACTTGTCCACAAATGTTCACAAGAGCATTATTCATGAGACAAAAAGTGAAAACAACTCAAACATCCATCAACTGATGATAGGCTAAATAAAAAGTGGTATATTCATACAATGAAATATTATCCAGCCGGGCTCGGTGGCTCAGACTGTAAGCCCGCACCTTTGGGAGGCTGAGGTGAGTGGACTGCCTGAGCCCGCAGGTTCAAGACCCGCCTGGGCAGGTGAGACTTCATCTCTACAATAAAATCAAAAAATGAGCCGGGCGTGGTAGCACGTGCCTGTAATTCCGGCTACTCGAAAGGTTGAGGCAGAAGGATCACCGGAGCCCAGCAGGTCGAGGCTGTGGTGGCGGGGAGCAGCCACTGCACTCCAGTCTGGGCGACAGAGTGAGACTCCAACTCAAAAAAAAAAAAAAGAAATATCATCCAGCAAAGTAAAACAAAAGGAACAAAGATGTGCTACGACATGGATGAACCTTGAAAACTATGCTAAGAAACAGTCACAAAAGACTACATATCGTTTTATTTATTTATAGATAGACAAATTTACACATAGTGAAAAAAATTAATGGTTGCTTAGGGCTGTAAGGGAGGGAGAAAGAATAGGGGATACTTGCTAATGAGCACAGGATTTCTTTTTTGGGGTGATAATGACTTTGATAAAGGTTGTACAACCCTGTGAATATACTTAAAAAAGCAGCAAATTATATACCTTAAGCAGATAAAGCTGTTATAAAGGAAAAAGATCTTATCTATAGAAACAAGCAGAACTACTATCATGAGTTGAAATTATGATCTCTTAGCCAGGTATAATGGCTCACACCTGTAATCCCAGCACTTTGGGACGTGGAGACAAGAAGAGTCCCTGAGTCCACGGGTTCTAGACCGGTCTGGGCAACATGGCAAGACCTGGTCTCTACAATAAATAAAAAAATTAGCTGAGCACGATGGCTCACGCCTGTAGTTCCAACTATTTAAAAGGCTGAGGCAGAAGGATCACCTGAGCCCAGCAGGTCAAGGCTGCGGTGGCTGTGAGTGTGCCACTGCACTCCAACCTGGGTGACACAGTGAGACTCCAACTCAAAAAGAAAGAAATAAAAATAGAAATTATGGCCTTTTAAGGCCAATAGTCTGTCCTGAAATTATCACCAAAATTCAAGTAGTAGATTGGCCTCCAAGCCCAACTCTGACATAGCCAATAATTATTTACTTCAAACTTTTCAGAATTTCATTCAAAAAACAATAATTTATTTATATATATATTAGTGGGAAAAGTTACAAACATATTAACAGTAAATATGTTCTTATTTTAGTCATTTACTTATTTATTCATAGAAGAGTGCATATAAGGATAGAAAAAAAAATTGGAAGGATCTGCAGTTGACTCTTAACAACATGGATTTGAACTGTGCCAGTCCACTTATACTTGGATTTTTTTTTTTTTTTTGAGTCAGAGTCTCATTCTGTCATCGAGACTGGAGTGCATGGTTACCACAGCCTCAACTTGCTGGGTTCATGAGATTCTTCCACCTCTGCCTTCCAAGTAGCTGGAATTACAAATGCATGCCAGCACACTTGGCTAATTTATCTATTTATTGTAGAGATGAGATCTCGACAAGCTGCCTAGGCTGGTCTCAAACTCCTGGCTCAGGCAATCCTCTTGCCTCCGCTTCCCAAAGTGCTGGATTTTTTTCAATAAATACAATCAACTCTCTGTCTGAGGGTTTATCACAACCACACGTAGTTAAAAAATACAGTATTCTCCGGACTGGGCATGGTGGCTTACACCTTAATCTTAGCACTTCGGGAGGCCAAGGTGGGAGGATTGCATGATCCCAGGAGTTTGAGACTAGCTTGGACAATATAGCAAGACCCCGTGTCTACAAAAAATTAGCTGAGTTTGGTGGTACACGCCGACTAGTCCCAGCTGCTTGGGAGGTTGAGGCTGGAATATTGCTTGAGCCCAGGAGTTAGACCAGCCTAGGCAAGACTTTGTCTCTACAAAAAATAAAAAATTAGCTGAGCATGGTGTTTTGTGCCTGTAGTCCCAGCTACTTGGGAGGCTAAGGCAGAAGGATCGCCTGAACCCAGGTGGAGGCTGCGGTGAGCCATGATGGTGTCATTACACTCCAATTTGGGTGAAAGAGTGCAACCCTGACTCAAAAACAAAAACAAAACCTATTATTCTGTTTTCAAAATGTGAAACCCAAAGATACGGAGGGGTAACTTTTTATATTTGTTGCAAGACTTCAGCATGTGTGGATTTTGGTGTCTGCTATGGTTGGGGGCTCGGGGAGGGCTTGGACCTGATCCTATATGAATATGGAGGGATTCTGTAGAATGCTCATTGTCTCTGATTGGTTGTATTTTGAGAGACTTTGTTTGTGTTTTTTAAAGCCATACAATGAATATGTATTACTTTCATAAAAAATTAGGGAGCACAGGCCTTGCTCAGTGGCTCAGCCTGTAATCCCAGCAACTTGGGAGGCCGAGGCAAGTGGATTACCTGAGCCTGTGGGTTCGAGATCAGCCTGGGTAACTTGGTGAGACCTCGTCTCTACAATAAATCAAAATATTAGCTGGGCGTGATAGTGTGCACCTGTAGTTCCGGCTACTTGGAAGGCTGAGATGGAAGGATCACCTAAGCCCAGCAGGTAGAGGCTGCAATGGCTGTGAGCGTGCCACTCCACTTCAGCCTGGGCAACAGAGTGAGACTCTGACTCAAAAACAAAACAAAACAAAACAATAAAAAAACAATTCTCGATTATATATTTAGTTATTTCTAGTTACTGATCATTATAAATAATGCTGTGACAAGCCTTACAATTAAGTCTTCAAATATACCCAAGATTACTTCCTTATAGATCCTTAGATGTAAAACTGTTAAGGTAAAAAGTATTCCTTTTCCTTTTACCACTTATACTAGCCAGTATAACACTGAATAGGTACATGATAATTGTATGCTGACGAGGCCTAGAATAAGCAAGATACTATTAGAAACTTCTCTGAAGATGTTAAAGAAAAGATAAATGTCAGCACCTGGTATCCTCTCATAACTTTAGTACTGACTCTTAACATTCTAGGAAGTTTTAAGGACATATAAAGCAAAGAAGTAAATGTTATAATCTCTTAAAGGCTTCTAGAGCTTATTTTGCAGAAATAAAATCTGTTGTTACCAGAAAAGAAAGAATATAAAGAGAACTTTCTCAGAAAAGTATCTGTACTCTTACCTTTTGTTGGAACTGAAGAAATTCCAAACCTGTAGAAAGAAAACAAGCTGAATCTTTGGAAGCTGTTCACACTCCTAGTTGTCCGTCTCCGTGTCAAATGTACATACGACACTTCTCACTTGTGATCTCAAGCCTTGCAATCATTAGCTAATTCTAACAACCCCATGAAAGACGTTCAGTTTACTCTCCTTCTCACCAAGAGTTCAAGGAATATGGTAAAAGGAAGTCTTATCAAAATTAGAAGTAGCAGTCAGTTTCTGAGTTTTACCATTACAAAAACCCTGTTCAATAATAAAGCCTAATCTATCCAAATCAGTAGAGATGTTCTGAGCAGGGTCAAAAAAGTATTCATTTCCTCTCAGTAAGCCTTTATTCTACTTAAAACCAACAATTATATCTAAAGCCTAGGACCACACCTCCTCATCTTCACCACTATCTCAGGTCCAAAATGCTGAGGACACTCACCTCGCTGCCCGAGCAGCTTTCTTACTCTCCAAGCTTACAGGTACATTGAATCGTTCAGCCCTCTTCTGCATTCTCTAAGTGACAACAGACAAAAGGAGAAGAGACGAATTCAATTTCTGGTTCAAAAAGTTGGTTAGAGATAGGTATCTTAAGAACATCAGGATTAATTTTTTAAGGTCTAAACTGAAAATACTGACAATCCTAAAAGATATCAGGTTATGTTCATACTAAGACTTAACTCAATAGCCCTTTCCAGAAAGCAAACACAAAAAGACTATTATTACATTCATGCTCTCAAAAACAAAAGGGAGGAATAAAATAAAGTAAAACCCACATTCTGCACGAAGCCAAGAAGACAAAAGCTGTGTATGGTTGACCTTTGAAAAGGGATCAAAGGAACAGCTTGGTTCCAACATTAGTAGTAAGTACTCTTTCGGTTAGACATGAGGCAGCTTTGTCTTATGACACCCTAAAAGAGTTTAATAATTCTCTACTTTGAAGGTACAAAATGAAACACAAGATCTCAACTGGAACCTGGGACAGAATTAGAAAAATTTCACATTCTGCATGAAACTTTATATACAAAAAGACTACAACTTCAGAGTTGACTACTCACTATGCCAGACCAAATATTTTCCAAAAAGTAGTTGGTGGAGAAATGTATCAAAACCAAATCTGTCAATACTGGTTTTCTGCCTATAAATAAAATTTTTAAGTGGTGATATAAATATAATAAAGAGTAAGAGAGAGAAATGTAGAGACTGTTCTACTAGGGATCAGAATACCTACTTCAGTCTGAGGTATTTCAGATGTAATTTTTACCACTTTCTTCTCTGCTGCCCTGGAAAAGAAAAGATTTTTTAAAACCTAAAAACTTTTTATATTCTAAACAAAAAAAGAAAAAAACCTCCTTGCCACTCCTTAGTCCAAAGAAACATGAAAATCATTAGAACTTTGGTTCCTTTAACTGTCATCTATTGAGGAAAAAAAGTTCAAATAACGGACTAAGCTACTTTAGCTAAGGTATAAGAAAGAATCAGGAAAGAATCTGGTTAAACATTGGGCTGAAGGGAAACACTCAAAGGACACCAGAAACCGTATCGTTTGCTTTTAGAACTTTAATTTTTTTTTTTTTTTAATTAATGACTTTCCCCCAACTCTCCTTTAAATACCAGCTCTCAGTTTTCATCACAACATTTAATGAGTCTCTACAAGACAAGCCCTGGTTTCCTTCTTTTAAAAATCCCCTTATTTCTCCCATGGGGACTGTAGCTCCAGCTGAAAGTCAAAGTAGGACAAATAAAAATGCCAAAGGGGGTGGGAAGAAAAAAGGCTAGAGGGAGTTTGAGTTAGGAAAACATGGTAAGTTACTGGTCAAAAGGTTTAAGAGAAAACAAAAGAGGGGGGACCATAGGGGCGGGAGACAAAGTTCGGAAATACCCAGGATAAATGGAAGGGCATTAACCCTCCACCAAACAACTCCCATAAAACCATGGGTCATAACCAGTCTCATTAAGGTCCCTCATTTAGAGACATGGGCGGCTTTTGTTCCAATATCCCGGGCACTTTTCCCATTTGATGCCCTGAAAGGTAGTAATGGTTTAATGACATTTTCAGAGGAAGCAATTCTGGAACAGGAACTTACTCTCTCCATCCTTTTGTTGGAGGTCCCTGACTGACAGACAAGCAATGGGTGCCCCCTGCTGACCATAACTAAGTCCTACAATATATAACTATTTGGGTAGAGAGTAAAGAAAAAAAAAAAATCAAACTAGAAACAAATTTTTGGAAAATCTCAGGCCAAAGATGAAGCAAGGGGGTCTCCTTTTAAATATTCAAAGAATTCAAATCATCCCTGAATATTCTGACTTTTAATAACATTTCTAAATTACTCCCATTTCTTAGTCATCCTTTCCTTACCCTGACTTAATTCAGGCACAAAAGGCCAAAGTACTTAATGTTTTACTTGAAGTCCAATGTCACAAGGAGAGCAGTTCTCTCTATCAACTCCAGTCTGATGACTTCCTCCTCATTCCCATCTTGACACACATGCAATGCTGTACACACCTCATGGCAGAAAAGGAATTCCAGAGAGGAAGCTTCCTTCTGTTTTATTCCAATTCCCTGAGGCACAATTAAACTCAAGCAATAAATACACATCACATTCTGGGACTCATGGGAAATTCCCACTCTTCATTAAGAAATATTTCTCCTACCCAGTGATATAAAAAACATTCCCCAAAACACAGGGACCCAGATCTCTCTATACATACTTTAGTGTCTCACAACTATCTCCCTGCAAAGCAAAAATACCACTTTCCACACACTTTCAATTTCCTTGTTTCTAAATTCATTGATAAAATGAAAGCCCCCTGAACAAGAGAATTGCACATTTTACATATTCTATGAATAATAATCTTAAAATTTTCAAATCTCTATCTTTTAATCCACACCAGTCAATTATCGTGGCATTCACTTCCTTCTTGTCCCAGAAGTCCTCCAAACATCTCTATTTTAAAGTTTTCCCATTAGGTCATTCTCCAAAGGTACTATATGTAGACCTCCGATGATGGGAAGACAATAAAATTCTATCAAAATGCTTGGGCCGGGCTCGGTGACTCAGCCTGCAATCCCAGCACTTTGGGAGGCCGAGGCAAGTGGATTCCTGAGCTTGCAGGTTCGAGACCAGCCCAGGCAACTTGGCGAGACCTCGTCTCTACAATAAATCAAAATGCTTAATATATATCCTCTGTGATATAGCAAATCCACTGCTAGGAATTTATCCTATGCACATACTTGCATAAGTATAAACAGTTGAACAAGGACATGAAGCATTACATTTTTTTGCTTTTATGAATAATCTAAACATCCATCAATAGGAGACTGGCAAAATAAATTACTAGAATGGAGCACTATTGCTATTGGACGATAGAACAGGTTCGAAACTAAATACTAAATCTGGGTGATAAGTACATGAGGGTCTACTATACTATTCTCAGACCTTTTGTAAATACCCATAATAACAAGCTGAAAAAGAGACCACTTACTAGGATAATTATCCCTACTTCATAGGGGGTTGATGTGAGGATTAAACAAGAATACATGTAAAACACTTGAACCATTTTAAGCATATAACTAACATTTAAATAAGGACATCATCATTATCATTATTATTATGGTAATACAGGAAAATCTCCAGATGTGAAAAAAATCATGAAACTGTGTAGAGTGTGTGTATCTATCTATATATGTACACAAATATACATATGTATACATATATAAATGCACACAGACCCCATAAATAAAATATTTCAAAAGACTGATTGCACTGTAATAAAAACCTCTGGAACATAAGATGGAGATAAATACAAGGAGTATTCAATTTTCTGTTTATATACACCTCTATGTACTGTTTGACTTTTTAGTTGTACATATATTGCTTTTTATAATGAAATGCATTAACCCAGCCACGAGGAACAAAAATGCCAAAAAGGACTCAATCGTTCTTGATATGCTGAAATACAAAATGGCCAATCATGGTAAAAGCCCCAAATTAAAGACATGTATGATCAACCTTGTGGGATAGTTTAAAATCAAGATCCACTTTCACTCTAGTACTTTATCCTCCTCTATAAATCAAAAGTATAGTGTTACTGGACACATATAACCTCTCCCCAATACCCTCCTCTCTTACAAAACTCCTTATACAGTTTTACACTTTTCTCTAAAAGTAGAGTAACAGAGTTACAGTTTCACACTCTAGAGAATTGCTTCTACAGAGATTCTCTATACAGTAAGATGTAGATTCTCTATACAGTAAGGGAATAATCTACTGCGGTGACCCTACAAAAGAACAACAAAGGCTAGGAGAACTAAACTGTGTCTGGGTTTGAAGTCACCTGATCCTAATGACCTATTACATAACCCTGGAGACACCCTACTTTGCTTCACTAGGACCAGGTACTTTGAGTGAAGTAGACCCTTCTGAAAAATGTATGATCTCATCAGAAACTAGCAGGCCAACAAGAATACAAAGAGATAAACAAAGTTAAACACTAGACCCAATAAAAACAGAACTGCCTGCTCTATACTCAAATGTCAAAAAAGCGATAATTACACATCAACAGTTTTTTCAGGGGGTTCTTCTTCTTTGACAGGGACTTCTATGGGTTTTGGCTCTTCTTCCTAAAACCAAATGAAACAAGACGGTTAATATAAATCAAAAAAGTAAATACCCAGCAAGAGAAGAACATCAGAACTCAAAAGTAAACCAGCCTCTCAGAACCTTCATACCCCTCCTTGGTTCCCCTAATAAATTAACATCTAAGTCTTCCAATGACTTAAGCAATGTGGTCAAGGCAGTGGCACATCATTAGGATATGACTAATCTGACTCTATCCAACTCACCTCTGTTTCATCTCCCAGTACATCTTCTTCATTCGCTTCCTCTTCAGCTAAAGAATATTAAAATATTCAGGTCAAGCCCTGCTACAAAACCATTTTGATCACTGTACCAAGGCTAAAATTAAAATCATTTTGCTTTCCCAAAATAAAATTCAATAATGAAGGCAGAACTGATACACATAAAATCTACTACAGATGAGGCAAAACCAGAATTCTACCTAACATTAATACAAAGTTGAACTCCAGCTGAACTGAAAAACTAAATGTAATGAAGTTTAAAAACAAAATTAATTTATAAAGTAATGTGGAAGAATATCTTTGAGATCTAGTGGTGGGGATCTGAAAAAAAAAGAAAACAACCCAGAAATAAAGTAATAGGTGAAAAATTAGAGATTTTTCAAAACTAAAGACTTCTATTAAGGACAGCATGAAAAAAGTTAAAAGACAAATGACAAGATATCTGTGCCTAAAACCAACAAAGGAATAGTTAAGAGAATATAAAAGAAATGCCTCCAAACCAATAAATAAATGATGGGAACCCCAATAGAAAAATGGGCAGAAGGCCAGGCATGGTGGTTCATGCCTGTAATCCTAGCACTTAGGGAGGTTAAGGGGTAGGATCACTTGAGGCCAGGAGTTCAAGACTAGCCTAGGCAACATAGTGAAACCCCCTTACCTATTTTAAAAAATTAAAAAACAGGCAAAGAAGAAGCCCAAAGGACCATAAACATGAGATGTTTAAACTTTTTCATAGAGAAATGTAAATAAAAACAACCAACAAATTACCAAATTAGGCCACTAAATTTAGGCTTGTGGAGATACAAGAACCCTTATACACTAGTGATGAGAGTGTAAATTTATACAGTAATTCTGGAAAACAATTTGCCACTGTTTAGTCATATTAAGTAATTAATATTAAGTATAGCAATTAGCAATCTCAGTCCTGGGTATATACCCCCAAGAGACACTTAGAGGAACAAGAGAGCAGGAAAGTAGTTCATAATAATAGAATGCTATAAACTACTCAGGGGTTCCCAATCCTGGGTCCACTGACCAGTAATGGTCCCAGGCTACACAGCAGGATTGATGAGCGGCTGGAGAGCAAGCAAAGCTTCATCTGTATCTACAGCCACTCACCGTCACTTGCACTATCACCTGAGTTCTGCCTCCCGTCAGATCAGTGGCAGCATTAGAGTCTCATAAGATCGTGAACCCAAGCCGGGCTCGGTGGCTCAGCCTGTAATCCCGCGCCTTGGGAGGCTGAGGTGAGTGGATTGCCTGAGCCTGCGGGTTTGAGACCCACCTGGGCAACTTGACAAGACTTCATCTATACAATAAATTAAAAAAAAATTAGCCGGGTGTGGTAGCGTGCCTGTAGTTCCAGCTACTTGGAAGGCTGAGGCGGAAGGATCATCGGAGCCCAGCAGGTTGAGGCCACGGTGGCCGGGAGCGGCCACTGCACTCCAGTCTGGGCAGAGTGAGACTCCAACTCAAAAAAAAAAAAAACAAAAAACAACAACAACAAAAAAAAGATCGTGAACCCTGCTGTGAACAGCATATGTGAGGGATCTAGGTTGAATGCTCCTTATGAGAATCTAATTCCTGATGATCTGAGGTGAAACAGAGGTGGCAATACTAGTGTTGGAGAGTGGCTGCAAATCCAGATTAACAATAGCAATGAGGTTTAACTGCACAGAGATCATAATAAATCAATCGCTTGCAGACTTATACCAAAACCCTATCAGTGAGTGGCAAATAAGTTGATGTACTTCAACTGTACAGTTGCGTCTGATGGCATAATTATACATTATTGTATAATTATACATAATTATTATGTATTACATATTTCATTATATATTCATTATATAAATATATTATTATCTATTTCATTATATATTACAGTGTAATAATAATAGAAATTAAGTGCACAATAAATATATGCACTTGAATCATCCCCAGATCATCACTGTGCCACCCCCATCCATGGAAAAACTATCTTCCACAAAACCAGTTTCTGACGCCAAAAAGACTGAAGACCACTGATATAAAGGATACAGTATACTATATACTGCAGGTTGAGTATTCCCAATCTGAAAACCAAAAATCTGAAATGCTCCCAAATCTGAAACTTTTTGAGTTACCAGTATTGACACCATAAGTGAAAAATTCCAAACCTAACTTCAGGTGACAGGTCATAGTCAAATCTTTGTCTCATGCAAAAAAATTATTTAAAATATTGTATAAAATCACCTTCAGCTATAGGTATGAAGCATACATGAAAATTTCATGTTTAGGCTTGGGTCCCATTCCCAAGATACCTTATTATGTATATGCAAATATGCCAAAATCTGAAAAAATCTGAAATTTGAAACACTTCTGGTACTAACCACTTCAGATAAGGGATACTCAACTGTAGTAAAATATATACTATAACATACATATAGTATTACTTATGGTAGCAGAGGTTTGGAGGCAATATAGGTGTCTATCACTGGGTGAATTAAATAAAATGTGATGGTTATACATAAGAGCATGCTATGAGGGAATTGAAGTCAACAGACTAACTCCATCATCTTCAAATGTGGAAAAAAAAGAAAAAAAGAGACTAGACAGCCATACATTCACAGGCCACACTAATACATCTTTTTAAAAAACATATTACTTTGTGAAAAAAGGTGAGAAATAAAGTAAGGCTATGGCCTCATTACCAACTATAAAAATGCAAATATTCTACCAAACACCACTGCCTGGTATACAAGGACAAAGGCAAAACAAAAAACAAAAAAATTTATCAAACACATTAGAATGATTTGCCTAAGTGGGCTGGGGTAAAATGAAATGAGAAATAGAAATAAAAGGGAATACATAAATAAAAATTAGACAGGGGACTTATACAACCTGAGATGATAATATGTAATAAAATAAATTGGGTTTGGTTTTGTTTTTTAAAAGGCATTATTGTTTTGGTTTTTTTTTTTGAGTTGGAGTCTCACTCTGTCGCCCAGACTGGAGTGCAGTGGCCACTCCCGGCCACCGCAGCCTTGACCTGCTGGGCTCCGGCGATCCTTCCGCCTCAGCCTTCCAAGTAGCTGGAATTACAGGCATGTGCTATCAGGCCTGGCTAATTTTTTTGATTTATTGTAGAGATGAGGTCTCGCCAAGTTGCCCAGGCGGGTCTCGAACCCGTGGGCTCAGGCAATTCACTCACCTCAGTCCTCCAAAGTGCGGGATTACAGGCTGAGCCACCGAGCCCGGCCTATATCTTTTTTTTTAAAAGGGACTATTTCTTTGCATTATAATCACTGTTCTGGATGACTTAGCATTTTCTTGAAGATGTTAATTAAGAGCTCACATTACTAAGGACCTAAAAAAAAGAAGAAATCTTCCAAGTGTCAAAGCCTGAGAGTTAATCTCCTTACTCTCACTCTACTGCCACAAAGTACTCACCATGCTCTTCAAGATACGCCTGGAGCCTATTGATGAGATCTTGTTTTATTCCCTTGGTCTCCAAACCTCGAGCAAGACATTCTTGCTTTAATTCAGCAAGCTGAGGGGAAAAAAAGTTTTCTTAGTTAACAGGATGAACACCAGTGAATGAAAGAGGTAGTTCTCACAAGAAAATAAAAAATGAAAATAGAGTTCAATCCCAAATTACTGCCCTTAATCCTATGAATACTCTGGGTTCACGAAGATGATCACTTTCCTCTCATACTATTCAATATGCAAGAGGACTTTTTAAACAAATGCTGAAGAATAAACAACATATAATAAAAATCTGATCTATTTGTACAACTACTTGTTAGCACAACTCTTTAGCTATTTCTGAGTAATTCAGAGGGGGAAAAAAACGGTTTTTTTCCCCCGTAAAAGTTACTGTGTCAGTATATGGGAAGAATGAACATTCAAGCAGAAAAATTCAATGATCTAAAGCAGACTCTTTTCCAATCATCCCAGATCCTTTATTAAAATCTATCATATATAAGTACACAGGTTTGACCACCGTAGAATTGTGTTAGCTAGCTTAATGTCAACAATGAATTGATTAAAGGATCTATATCAAAATGGTAAGAAATACCTAATGGCATGCCGAAGTTGTGCTGAAGATTTTAAAATCAGTAATTTGACTAAAGATGTAAAAGGTATGTTTATCAACTTTACAGACAATAGACAAAGGAAGGAGAACTGATGGATTATGACAGAACTAAGATTTTAAAAAACAGAAAAAAAACCTTTTCAGGGAGAATAAATGAGTCAAAAATGAAGATTCAACTTAGAAGAAATAAGTAATACATATAAAATCCGACACTTAGATTAAAGCTTCAATTAAACTGGATTACGGAGATCTGGTTCAATAGTAAATCAAAGGATAAAGACCTAGGGGTTTTAGGCAAAGAAGGTTAATGGTATAATTTGCTGCCAAAGTAATTCTAAGTCGCAAGTAACTGAAATATAGAATCCATAATAAATAATGCAATGACCTTGCTGGGCTCTATATTCTTATTTTAAGAAGCATAACCAGATGCTAATTCAAGAAAAACAGGCAGGAAAAGAAAGACTCCAGAAATCCTACATGCCACTCAGCACACAAACAGACTGGTAGTCTGAAAGAGGACCTTACTTGTTTTGAAGTGCAGATCTAAGACAAACCAGTACAAGTTAGAAAGCAGATTCCTACAGAAGAAAAAACTTACAACTATGGAGCATGCTCTTTATCTCTAGAAGGCTTTCAGCCAGGAAAGCATTTGGAAATAGAGTGAAGTTTTCCTTTTTTACATATCACAATGACTGACAGAGCATTTAGTGAGTGGGGCAGGCAGGGAAGGATGTTAGGCAGAGAACTACCCTATCTGACAAGACAACAGCACTCTCTATTGAGGAACATGGCAGGCAGTCACCCACTAAAAATTATTTTTAAGGCTTTTGTTTATTTTTTTAAAATGATTGCAGAATGCATAGTAGTTAAGAACATAGCCCCTAAAGTCAGATTACCTAGGTTCAAATTTCAGTTTTACCATTGCAGGTATATAACATTAGGTGACTAACTTCACCTTTCTGTGCCTTGGTCTCCTTACCTGTAAAATGGGAATAATAACCTACCCAGAGGGTTGATATGAACATTAAGCCAGTAAATTCTGTAATGCATTCAGAATAGTGCTTGGCAGCTAGCAAGTACTTTATAAACATTAGACACTGGTGAGGGACTAAACAAAATTCGACAAAATCACTGGTTCTCAGACTCTGAATTTCACAGATTAATGTATTTTTATTTATTTATTTATAGAGACAGGGTCTAGCTACCAGGCTAGACTTGAACTCCTGGACTCAAGTGATCCTCCCACTCCAGCCTCCTGATTAGCTGGGACTAGGAGTGTGCCACTGTAACCAGCTCAATGTACTTTTAAATAGGTAGGCTGATAAGATTGCTTTTTATGATATTACAACCAGGCCATGGACCGATACATCTACAAATAACAATAACAATGAATTATTAGAAAAATGAGCACATACCTGAATGTAGCAGTGATGGCAAACTGCTATAGAAATTTCTAAAAGAAAATTCTAAAAATTATGTCCAATTTTTCTATTTATCTCACTATTAACCAGTAACAGCTAGTTCATACATCAGCACTGGCCTGTGGACCATACTTAAATAACATTAATCCAGAATGTAGACTCTAAGTGATCATTAAGATCTATTTCTTAAGAATCTTGATCTTTCTCACACTGGCACTTTATTTCTTTATTTTCTTTCAGCTACTTGGAGAATGAGTCTTTTTCTTTTACTTACACTTTAAAATTTTGTGTTGGTTTGTTATAAAAGTACTATGCTCACTGTAGAAGAGTTAGAAAATTCTGAAAAGTATAGAGGAAAATAAAAGTCATATGCAATCCCAACATCTAGAGATCACTTAATGCTTTACACATATCATTTGTAGTGTGTGTGGTGGAGAGAGAATGCTGGTTGTTCCTTTACAAATACAGCTTCATTACTTCCTGTTACTCCACAAGCCTCAACTACGTCCTTCCTCCTAGTTCACATATTTTTTTGGTAATACTCAGGCAATTCAGAGTGCAGCCTTCTAGCACAGTTGCTCCTGCCTTCTTTCTCCTTCCTAAAATAGTGCCTAGATAAAGGCAGAAGTTTACAAAACCTGCAAAGTGACAGAGAAATGGAGTTGGTGGCAGTTCTTGCCCAGAATGCTGACTAGTACAGTCCGATCTAGATTTAGAGAGGACACGCAGAACAGAACAAACAGCTGCCACTGGTATGGATAGTATCTATCATTGCTGACTGTGCCATTGCCCCTCGTCACTGGGGTCTCAGTCCCCAGTGGCTCGCAGTCCTAACCCCAGGTTTCTGGCTCATTCAGCAGTCCTCTCAGCACTGCCATGTCCCCTCTCTGATCAGATAAGAATGTTACATAGATTTTACATAGTGTTGTATTAACTTCTTTATTATAATGTGGGCTCTTCCCATATACTAGGAAATTACTTTAAGAGAGACACAGATGAGTGAAAACACGAAACAGTTAAAAGTTAATTTCTTTTTGCACATATTTCAGCACTATTATGTTAGTAATAGAACTAAAACTTTTTAAAACTTCAAATAAGAACTGTCTTACAGGTCCAGGCATGGTGGCTCAAGCCTGTAATCCCAGCACTTTGGGAGGCCAAGGCGAGAGGATTGCCTGAGTCCGGGGGTTTGAGACCAGCCTGGCAGCTTGGTGAGACTCGTCTATATAATAAATCAAAAAATAAGACGGGTGGAGTGGGGTGCATCTGGAAAGCCTTGGAAGGCTGAGACAAAAGCCTGAGCCCAGCAGGTCAAGCAGGTCAAGGTTGCAGTGGCCATGAGTGTGCCACTGCACTCCAGCCTGGACGACAAGAGTGAGACTCCAACTCAAAAAAAAAAAACAAATTTTTTTTTAAAAAAACTAACTTATAATATAAAATCTTATCCCACTTTTAAATGAATTTGATTTTTAAAAATTTTTAAAGGTATTCTGAGTGAATTTTATGATGTGAATTTTATCTAATAGGGCTATTAAAAAACAAGCTAAAGAACACTGTACAGAGTATACTAGCATTACTATTAAAAAAAGATACACACACAGAGTCCTATATGATGCATATACACTAGATGCCTGGACAAGAAACAGATAAGCTAATAACAGTTGAATCTGGGAAGAGGAAGATATTTGGGAACAAGCATAGAAAAAAAACTTTTTACCATATATCCTTCTGTACCTTTAAGAATTGTGATCTTGGCTGTGCTCGGTGGCTCAGCCTGTAATCCCAGCACATTGGGAGGCCAAGGCAAGTGGATTGCCTGAGCCCATGGGTTCAAGACCAGCTCGGGCAACTTGGCGAGACCTCATCTCTACAATAAATAAAAAACTAGGCGGGGCTCAGTGGCTCAGCCTGTAATTCCGCACTTTGGGAGGCCAAGGTGAATGAATTGCCTGAGCTTGCGGGTTCGAGACCCGCCTGGACAACTTGGGGACACCTCATCTGTACAATAAATCAAAAAAATTAGCCGGGCGTGGTAGAACGCACCTGTAGTTCTGGCTACTTGGAAGACTGAGGCAGAAGGATCGCTGGAGCCCAGCAAATCGAGGCAGCAGTGGCCGGGAGCGGCCACTGCACTCCAGTCTGGGTGACAGAGTGAGATTCCAACTCAA